TACCCCAACAATTTATTACTTGCTCCTTCCTATTTCACTGACAATAAAGTAGAAAATGAAGACACAGCCGCTGTCACTGTAGATGATACAAGAACAGATGCAGCCATTCCAACCCCTAGGTAATCTTGGAGCCGTCTTATTTAGGGGTAGATCACCGAGGGTATCTTGTGAGACTCTACTAAACGAACCGTGTAATGATGTCTTTAGCTGATGTCCAGACTATCAGGATAACAGAAGAGCTGCTTAAAAAGTATCAGGGGAGCAGATCAGAAACTCGAGAACTATCAGGGAGATAGAAGAAAGATGATTAGGAGATGATTATGTGCTTAATATTTGATTGGGGTTAAGCATTAGGGGTGGATTTTCAGACTTTTATCATGACGCAAAGTAATTTTGCTCTAAATAGTCTAAATAATATTTTAGAACACTAACAAACACAGAAAGGTCCCTTCCTTAAGAAAGTAACCCTGTTACTTTCTTAAACATCTTGATTATCATAAACGAATTATAAAGATAGAATACAGCTAAACCATTGATTGCTATTTGTAAATAAAGTAGTTGAAACATCATATGGAATAATCTGTTAATATTTAGTATCCACCTTTGTAGCACGGCCAATGCATATAGATTATTTTGAACTTTTTAAAACTTTTTTGATCTGTTATCGTCCAAATTTTTATCTAAACGAATCAACAAACGATCTAAATATACCAAACAAACATCTTATTTTGCAATAAACATGCCAAATTTATTACCTTCTTAAATGACATTAGGTTCAACGAGTTTAGGTTTACTGCTTAAGGGGAGGGGGGGGGGGGAACTGTGTTTTTTCGGTAAAATGTCAATAGTATAATATGAAATCAATAAATTTATTTATTTATTCTTTCAACGGTGACACCATTTTTATATTCAAATATACATTAAATAGGATTACATCACTTTATTAACAAAGCATAATTACTTAATAAAATATGAGCAATAATAAGAATAAATTAGATAGGAGGCATGACATGCAAAGACATAACCAGTATAAAAGAAAAAGAAAAAAATATTACATAGGCTGAATCCCTTCAAATGTATGACATACATAAACATAGCATATTAGGTATAGGCTACTAAAACACGTGCAATAAATAAGAATAGATGTGAAAAGCAGGCATTAAAATTAGTCAAATGTGATGAAAATATCACCACAAATTGTCAAAATATTCGTTAAACCATGTTAGGAGATAAATCTGACATTATTAAACGAAATATGTTAGCGAAAATCCTGTCACACAGATTAAACTGTGCTAGGTCCACAGGATTTCTACAACGCTGGGTTTTAAATAATTTTAATATTTGTCAGAAGGATACGCACGAGTATCTTCAAAAAATAAACACATTAAATAAACTTACAATTCAACACAGTAACACGCATCTGGGTTCTACAACTTCAATTTATTACCTTACAACTCAAAACGGGAGGTTTATCGTCTACTTCCCCTAAAAAGAAACCCCTAATCCAAAAATCTACCTGAGATTAACCCCGGAGTGTTTTACAGGCAATAAAACTTGTTCAGATAACTCACGCTATTTGACGTGATGTATAGAGTTTCAGTGTAAATAATTGCTACGTTATCTAAGGGTTGGGTGGTAATTGAAAACTGATTAGATTTATAGCTCATTGTCTTTAGCATAGCTTTTAAAATAATTTTAATTCATGTTGAATTTTTTTTAAGAGGTTGGTGGCCTCTTTTACCCTTGCATTTGCCCGTCCACATAGACTAAGCACCCGTGCGTGGATCGTTTACAGCAAAGCAAGGAGTGAGCTGGTACAGTACAAAGGTGAACTGTGCTGATAAATTGTTTCCGGCAGTGACCAGGATCCGAACTCACGACATCGCTGCCTTGGGCCCGAAGTCCGCGACACTACCGACTGAGCCACCGACTCACTAGACATACATCTTATTGACAATCAGTTGAATATTTATATTTAATTCAGTAAAAAGAAATAGCAAATCTTGTAATTAAACAATATCAGTTGAAAACATAGCTAATATTTGTGTTCCAATTATATTATACTTTTATACGACAATTTACAAATTATCTGTTTTCATGTTGTCAGCCTCCGGATGACTGGTAATAATAAATAATGGTTTAAATGCCTTATACTGTCAAGTGATCCTTTGTAGTCCAAATATAGGCTACTGCAGTTTCGTTCCTCTGGAACGAAATTTGATGTCCTCGACAGCCTGATGGAGTTCCTATCGGGAACGAAACTGCAGCTGCATTTGGACTACAAAGGATCACTTGACAGAATAAGGTACTAAATCATTATTTATAAATTATTTGTGTTAGCTATTTTTTCATTTAGGGAATAATACCGTGGTGTCATGGTAAGCCCTTGTCCTTGGACCGATTTACTTTCTCGTTTTGATGTCCACAGAGTTCAATGACATTAGTAATACATGTCCGTCAGCACGGTGACTCGAATAAAAATGATCCAATTTTGACGAAAGTTGGTACAAATGTGTAAGCCTACATTTATTCAAACGAGTTCGCAAACCAGCATGATCGGTCAAAGGGCACGGGAGTTTTGTGATTTTTTTCGTCTAAGTACAAAAATTCGTCACTTAAATTTTATACAAACCTTTAATGCACAACTATACATTAAATTGCACATTAATCGTAAAAACATCAAAAATTAAGCATTCAGCTTTTTGAACAACTTATTAAACCTGTATTAAATTAAAAACTGCAGGTTTTGCTTTGCAATAATTAACTAAAATCACATTTGTAGATTGTTATTAGAAAGTAGTATCTGCTGACACTCAAAAAAGAATTAAAGCCACAGTTAATTAAGATAAGTAACCCCATTAAACCGGGTGTTCATCATTGAGACGCTTTCGACCTTGAAATATCACTTTCGTGATAAGAGGCAATGAGCTCCCTGCCCTGGGCTCGTAATTCTTTTCTTTCCACCAGCCTTTCTTTTCCCAGGGATTTCTTTTCCTTTATCTTAAAACACTTTGAATTTCATTAGGTGTAAGTGTTCTTAAAACTTGTACGTGCTGTTGTTTTCCGTTTAAATGGGATGGTTAGTGATGAACAAACGTGGTGTATGGGAAGTGTGTCGAAGTTTTTAAAATAATGTTTAATTGATTCCATAATATCACTTTATGCATAGAAGAAGAAGAGGGCAGAAATAGTAGTGTGTGACAATAATTTGTAGGTAAGGCTATATTTGTTTTCCTCTATATAAAAAGAAGCACAATTGTAGGTAAAAATTGTTCAATAATTGTAAGTGAAAAGCACAATTGTGATTAACTTAACTATCGTTTTAGGTTACAGACTAATATCACAAGACAGCAATGCAGAATTCAAACGTTCCCACAAATTGAACAAGGTTGAAATAAAAAATAAATGGTCCTAAAACACACTCTTGAGGAACACCTCAAGTGTTAGTTTCGGCCATATCTTCATAATAATTCATCACATTTACTTTTGCTTTTTTTACAGCAGACCATTGAAAATCGAAACGAATGTTAACTAATTAATTAATAGAGGCTTTTCATTTCAACTCCTCCGGTTGGATTTCAATGAAATCACACCCCTAATTGACAACTCTAGAACTATTCACTTTGAAATCCAATAACCCTATAAAACAATAACATCCACCTGTCCCCCTTAAATCTTTGTCTCCACCAAGTGTCGTCGGGTTGGGGGTGGAACCTTTGAAACGCAATCTGAGCGATCTTATTGATTGAATCATTCCTCATATCATGACAGATTAGGGTTAACTCTGAGGGGTGCAATCAGGGGACGGAACGATGCACCCTCACCCCAAACTAATAAAATGTCACGTGATCCAAGAAAAACTGGAGATGTGCGGAATAAGCCGTCGAGAGGTGGCTGTCGGCGCTCCAATTATTCTCGAGAAGAGGCGTGCGTGGAGGACTGAGAACAATATGGCTTAGTGTGGGGTAACATTTGTCATAGTGTATCCAGCTTGTAGTTATGTAATTGGTCCCTTGTGGATTTTTCTTTTTAATAATATAATAATTATTAATACTATAAATGCAAAAAAGTAGGTTTTAGTTAGTACTAGAGGTCGTCCAGTTGTCGAAAACTCGAAAAATATACGTTATGTACTGACTTCTCTATTTTTACCCCACGATGTAAATAAAACATGTATTTAGAATTTATTCCACTTGTTTTGATTTTCTGTTTATATTTCGTCACCAGCATGGCAACCCATAAGGCCGATGTAATTTTTTTATCAATTTTTTTAAGCCTATTTTAATAAAAGAGATTCTGCTCATCTACAGGAAAATATCTTTCTAACAGTATTGTATGCAATTAAAAAATTGTTTTATGTATCCCAAATGTTCATACGATGAAATTAGTAAACCACTTGTGATAATCTAGTTCGGCCAAGGACATGATTTATATACAGTTTAGGTGCACGGTGATTCAGCCCTTAGTGCATTCTAGGAGTTCAATGCAGTATAATGATAACGGTTCAGCCAATAAAATACTGCAGCTTGTAATGTATCTAAAACTTGTTTTCAAATCCCACCCAAAACAATTTTCCTTCTTCGATAAAGACGTAGAATCAATGACATACTCATAGAGTTTTATATTAGTACTATCATAGACAAACCAACAAAAGTAGACTCCTCATCCCATTGTAAATTTTGAAGCTCGTGTCTAGTTCATGTCCGGTGACACTGATCGCTAGTGTCGACGAAATTTTGTTTTTGTTTTAGGGTTAATTCCATGATGTATACTTTATTATTTTGTTATATACCTAGAGGACGAGTTATTGATTATGATTAGATCGTTTTATTTGGCCAAACGAGGTTTTAAATGACTGAAATAACAAGGAACAAATTGTCAACAAAACACGATCTCTACAGTGCACCAGCCAGAACTAAAAAATTGTCTTCAGCTGATCCGTAAGGATGAGAAAGGGAGCATGTTTGATCTATGATACATATGATACTCTTTTGTTGCAGTTCTGAGGGAGGAGTTCCGTATCCAGCCCAACAGCCAGAGAGTGGCCCAAGGAGAGACCGTGGTACTGGAGTGTTCTCCCCCCAGAGGACACCCGGAGCCGACGGTCCTCTGGAGGAAGGACGGCCAGGTGCTGGACCTGGACAACAACCACCGGTAAATGAGAGGTCTTTGTTTACAAGCGAGTTTCATGTGCAATGGTTTTCAAACTGATTCAAATCAACAATCACAAACATGTGTGGTTATGGTGGTTAGCGTCTCAGACTTAAGTGCGGAAGGGGTTATATTCCCGGTAAACCATAAAAATGTCAACGGCGTAGAAACTTTAAACAAAAACATTACAGCTTTATTTACCAGGTAAATGTGAAAATAAACTGTTCCAACCAGAACTGCCTAATTTACAGGGGTATGACAACAGTGGATTGGTTGATGGACATGCTTATTGGTTTTACATTCCCAGCTAATGAACCTACTAATGAACAATCTGATAAAACAAAATACACTGTAATTAGTAAAACTAGTTAATGGAGTGTATTAATTAGTTTTGTGTCAATGAATGTCTAGGGAAATTTTTTTGTTAAATTGGTTATTAAGTTTGGTGAACCGTCTACTTAATAAGCTTTTCAATTTTAAAATTTGCTGCGGTCATTTTTCTTAATGATCAATAGGAAGCAAAGTTTTTGACTAGTTTTTTATTTCGCAGATTCTAAATCGTCGTTTTCACTTATCTTGAACGTAAAGTCTGCAACAATACTTTACATAACGTTACCTCAACCTTAACCGAAATTCAAACAAATGGCAATTTTTCAATATGTTTCAAATCAACAGTATATTCTGTGGCTGATTCAAACTTGAGTCAATTATTGATTATCCGTCATGTGACACGATACAAACAGTTGAAAAGGTTGATTTTCAGCTTCATAGTTAACACTGTTTTGCTATTTTCTAAATTTTAAACACAAACTTAAGATTTTGAATCTTGTATTGCGACCGATTCTTGCACGTTAAATGTTCCCGCGTTCTCTGGACACACTCGGTTGTTTCCCTCCAAAACGCGGCATTTTACCCTCGTTATTTTCACCATAACCTCCTGTCAGCTGTTCCCCGTGTCAGGTGATGGATAAAGCCATTACGACCGGACGATAAATATTTCAACTTGCAGGATCCCCCGGGAGATAAGACAGTTGGCTTTGCATCGATTTATAAAACCCTCTTGATGGATCGAAAGCCAAAACGTGAGGCGTTCTTACAATACCTCACACCAAGGGGTGACGGTGATACTGACACAACTTGCTCTGACTTTAAATCCGAATTGTACAAGCGGACTTCTCATCTCATTGTAAACTAATAGTCGGAGAAATATAGGATATGACCTTAAAAAAATTGCAAGAAAACGTTTTATGGTTTTATTTTGTTTAGTTGGGTTTGCGGAATGACATACTAAAAGTTGCCAAAAATCGGTGCACGAGAAAACCACTAAAATCACAATTTAAAATGGCGGCTTTTTCCAACATTGGACAAATAAAAAAAAAATATATTTCACATGCATTTGTTATGCACATTTTTCGAGATATTGACTTGGGACCATCGGCTGTATTTATTGGGTGGTTAGTACTTTATTTTGATAGGGAACATTTTTTTGGCCGCCATCTTGGATCCACCATATTGGACATAGATAATTTTGTTCAATGTAATGATAGTGTTGTGACACACCATTACCAATTACATTTTTACACTGATTTCAATGCCGAAATCCGTTTTTAAATATCTTTATTCACTTAGAAGATATATTCAAACGAAAACTCTCCACCATACATTTCTTATGGACGTTTCGTAGTTTGATAATTTTTTAAACATTATTTTTCTTATATCTCCAGTTCTTATTAACGCTTGTAGTTCGTTCTAGGCTTAAAATATTCAGTAATGTAAGGGCTTTCATTTGAGCTCTTGATCATTGTGACGTATAACAACCCGAGTTATAAATCTTTTAATAAAAGTATATTTCTAAAAAGTTAAATTTAATATTGTTCTGAGGTTCGTAGCTGGTCTTTAACTCGTCTGATTTTAATGATCAAGAGCTCAAATGAAAACCCTTATATTACTGAATATTTTAAGCCTAGAACGAACTACAAGCGTTAATAAGAACTGGAGATATAAGAAAAATAATTTTTAAAAAATTATCAAACTACGAAACGTCTATAAGAAATGTATGGTGGAGAGTTTTCGTTTGAATATATCTTCTAAGTGAATAAAGATATTTAAAAACGGATTTCGGCATTGAAATCAGTGTAAAAATGTAATTGGTAATTATGTGTCACAACACTATCATTACATTGAAAAAAAAAATTATCTATGTCCAATATGGCGGATCCAAGATGGCGGCCAAAAAAATGTTTCCTATCAAAATGAAGCACTAACCACCCAATAAATACATCGGTGGTCCCAAGTCAATATCTCGAAAAATGTGCATAACAAATGCATGTGAAATATGTTTTTTTTATTTGTCCAATGTTGGAAAAAGCCGCCATTTTAAATTGTGATTTTAGTGGTTTTCTCGTGCACCGATTTTTGGCAACTTTTAGTATGTCATTCCGCAAACCCAACTCTACAAAATAAAACCATAAAACGTTTTCTTGCAATTTTTTTACGATCCCTATGTAAGTTTGTTTAGTTTGCTTGGACTATAAGCCTTTTTGATGACAGTTTTATGCTAGGGACATTTGATTATGGTGTTCACTAATTTATTGTTTCTCCTTTTTTGGTGGAGTAAACTACAAAACGCTCTCTAGAAAAAGTGGTGAGAACTAACCTTAAAATTCCCTTAAATTATGTATAAGAATGATACACCTTTGGGGGAATATTTTTTTCTGCTTTATAAGTGCAGAGTGGTCAAGGAATTATTACAATGCTCCAAAATATTGGTGATAGACGAGATTCAAACCCGAGCCATTAGAACCTAACTTCCACTCTAAAACCATTAACCAGTTGTGTATCGGAGATTTAGTTATATACCCAAATAATATGTTACATTGCATTGGCCTATTGATAAATGATAATTTCTAACAATTAATTGAGTTTATTAGAATTCAACGCACAGTTAAATGTCTCGAGATTAGATTGTAACTTCGAGGAAAGATGAACGGAAGGAAAAGGAAAGCAGAAGTTTCAAGTGTTCAATTCATCCTTTCAGAGTTATGAAGGATGATCAAGTTAGGAGTTGAGAGTTAAGATGGACGACTTATTGACTCGAGCTAAAACCGATTTCTAAAGAACCACGTTTATATTTTTAAATAAACTCATTCATTGCTATGTATAAATTAAGACATCACATTTGCATTTCCTATTTTGTTGGCCAATCTAGTTTGACTAATTAGTTATAAAATATTTAAGTACTAAGCGCCATATAATATTCGGATCAGCGTCATTGCAAATCGAGATTAAAATGTTCTAAACTGGATGTTTTGGTAATTATTAAACTTTTTTTAATTGACTAGCTAAATTAACAGCAGGTCTTAGTAACTGAACTACATTAGGCAATTCACTTAGTCCACACTCGTCTTGTATTAAATGTCGTGGTAAGAAGTTAAATCTCTTATTCGTAGTTGAATACTTTAATTGTGTCCTACCCTAAATAGTTTTTGAGTATGCACCAAACCGCATATGTATTTTTTGAGGAACAATCAAGCAATTGTATTTTTTTATTTAATCTCAATAATAAGTATGGGATGAAAAAAAAATCGACCTCCATCCTAAATTCCGCAAGCCCAAAAAGTTCAATATTTACGTAGATTTTTATCATATTTAAAGGCTTTTTTACGCCATATACCATTACATCCTACCATATAACTGTTTCAACCGTTTTTTTTTTTTTTTTTCAACACCGTATCCCCTAACAAACTCTATATAGAACAAATTAGACTCAACCCATTTAGAAACATACACGATGTATTTTTGAACGTGGCGGCTTGTGTCAAAAAGCTTTTGTAGAACACTTTAGTTAACTAATTTTAGCTATAACTTTTACATTTAATTCCAAGCATAACACACAAGACAAACAAAAGCCCTAGAAGCTCTCAACAATGCATTAGTGGCATTCTTCAGCTCTATTCTAAGAGCTGTCCAACACATTAAACACACAGCTAATGTTGAATTATTTTAACTTGTTGTCTACTCTAAAGCTATATAGATTTAAAGTATCCCACATTGATGTTGAAATTAGTACTGAATCCTAAGTTGTGTAAAAATTACTGATACGAAAACAAATGTGACATTAATGCCACCACTTTGTTATATCACACCACATGTAAAAATTGAGTATGTTTTTGGCAAAATCTCAAATATTTTACATAAATCCTAAAGTAATCGTCTAATTAAACACGAATATTGGTTAATTGATTATATTACCGTAAGTTGTCATGCTATTCATATATTGATAACACTTCAGATTAAAGAAAAACTTAGTTTGATTAAGCTGACAAAAATGTTCGTACAGACGTAAACGATTTCGTCTTCTCTACCAACTTGTAAAACATGTCAATCTAGACGGCTATTCTGCAGACTAAGTCCTCATCAACTAGTTCACGAATTACTAAGACAAAAATTGAACACCAAAGATATTGTTTAAAATAACCGCTGCTGGTTTATATTGGAATTTCTACTTCAGTATCGCAAGAAGAAGACATAGTCCTAAAACAGCCTCATTCCATTACGTTTTCAGCTCTCTGAACTGTGCCATCGCGAAGAAGTAAAAGCAGAAGAAAGATTGGACGTAACCGATGCCTCACTTTGGGGGGTCCTCTTCTGCTATGCCAAAATAAATAATGCTAACTATACATTGATTTCCTTTTGAATAACCTGGTTTCAAAATTATGACACAGACTCTGTTTATTTTTAGCCACGAAGGCATGAAACATGAGCAAAGAGTAATTTTTCCATAAAATAACAGAAAACAATCTGATTAAAAACTGGTCGAATAATTTTTGTAAAACTCATAATGTTCTAGTTCTTTTGACTCTAAACGGTAACCTACTAGGCTCAATGCTGTAAACATTACGGTTCAGAGTAATTGAATTTTTTTGTGATTTTCCCCATAAAATATCATAGTTACTTCCACCGCTTCCAATAATAAGGATTGTCAACCTAATAGGATGAAGTGTGTCAGATTGCTGATACCGTTTACTTAAGATTTTCTTTTCTATTGCGAATTTAGCTGAGCAGTTTAGCTTCAACAGAAGGTTGATGCTTTATAGCATAGACCATTTTTTTATGTTTTTTCATTCCTTGAGTTCGTGCCTCCGTTTTCTTCGGCATATTGTGTTAGACATTTTTACAGGCTACGCATCTAAAGATATTTCAAATTACATTTAGTTGGTAAGTGATACCACACGCTTGATACTAATTACAGTGTATTGTCAGATTTATACCTTCAATAATGTATTTTGTCGGAGTTTCGCCTTGTATCTGCGACACTTGCTGTAGACTTCAGTCGACCACTCAATACCTGGCCTGACGCCAGTTGGCTGCTTAAGATACAACAATGGCTATTTTCCCGGCTGAACGATTCTGATCCGCGTGTTTTGTCCTCTCCTTTCTTCTCATTTCGTTTTTCATTCCCACTTTAATCTTTTGAAAAGGTTGCTTTCAATCCCATTGGAGAATGTGTTGTTTTCATAGCGTTAACAGTGTTTAGTATACAAGTCGTTGATTTTAAAAAGACGAATGTTGCAGCTACGTTTGCTTTATGAATGGATTGAGTTGAATAAACACTCCGCAAATTAAAACTGAATAAAGCTATACATTTCAAAATGTAGTTTTATGGTGGAATATTTCCATGGTACAGGAGTTATGCAGGTTTTGCATCAAGCACCAAGCTGAAGAAAATTCATAGACCGATTCCGAGTATAACATATAACCTTATAATTAAGAAGATTTGGACGAATCCTTTAGATAACATCCACAATCCCAGGATGTGCTATACCTTATACCAGAGAAAATCTTATACCTTATACCAGAGAAAGTCTTATACCTTTTTAAATTGATTTCTTAAAATTATAACTCAACCTAAACCCTAAAAATGTCTCTTCAAGATGCAATCCTTTTTTAAAATGTTCTCTTTTGAAAACGTCACAATGACTATACAATTTTTTCAAAAGTTTTGTTTTGCGTCTTAGAGTTTTCATGGAGTTTTTTATGTATTTTTTAAGGGTACGTCAAAAACTCGTATCACCTAACGCCAATATTTCCATAGAAATTACACCAGCCCGATATATATCACTTTGGTCCAGTATTGAACCAGTGGTCTTCAGATTGTAAGGGGAGTATTTTACCCTATCGGGCACCCGGTCATTTAATTTCTCTACTTACAAAGTATCTTTTAACTTTACTTTTCACACTATGCTGTTTAACAAAATCCACTACCAAAATGTTTAGGTCCCAACCATAACTTCCTTTAAACTCAAAAATTTTAAAATTAAACTCTGTACGTAAAATGTCCTCAGCAAACGACTTAAAGTGTTTAATCGCCAATGTAAGTACATGATGGAGTTTAAAAGAGGATTAAACAGTTTACAAAGTGGCCCAGAGAGAGTTGGGTTGAATTGTTGAATTGATCATCTCAGCGAGATGGATGTGGGCAATTACCTCTGTTGAATAACTTATTGCCCGGTCGGGACTGAAACTCCCCGCCAACAATCGGGCATTAGCCGAACATCGATCCGTTGGGCGTAGAGCGTTATCAGTTTCACTAACATTACTTAGATACAACAATTGTTCATGTAGCTAAATCAGAAATAGGCGAAATCGTTCATGTAAGGGCAGCTGAAATAATATTAGGTCTAATTCGTACTTAAGAGTGTATCTGGATTAAATATTGAGCGGAGTGAGCGAAGCTCTTATACCACACTCCTGCTTTTGTTTTACAAATACTCCTCCTGAACGGCTTAAGGCAATCCGCACGAAATTTAGCACAATCATAGCACACAACCCATTGGAAGGTATAAATCTGAAATGGTACAAAATAGACTACAGGACAGGACTTTTCCCTACGGTTATTTAAAGTTTTATAAACTTAACATGGGCCTTATGGGTCGATTGATCGCCATGACAGTATTTTGTAATATATAATAAAAAGGTCCTCAAAGGTAACATTATGTACATCAACAAATCATCTAAACTAGCACATTGCAAATACAGAACAAAAGGGACCAGCAATCGGATCAATTTAATTTAGCAACCGTAGAGCATAATTTACTACAATATGAACAAAGAAATAGGCCATACACCATTGGATACTGAAGGTAGACATTCCATTTACGTCCAGACGTACTATTGACTTTGGATACTGCAAGGAGACATCTCATTTATGCGAACCAGATTTATCATTGACTTAAATGAGCATTCATATTGCAAGCAGACAGCTGCATTGTACACCTAGTAGGTAAAAATCGTTATTACCAGGTACAGCGACAGGTAATGTTCAATATAGTTTGAACGCTTAAGGAAAGGAAGAAACAGTTGTGTTTAGCCAAAACGTAACCGCAGTTTCCGTAACGTAAACTCATTGTTTGGCTTTTGCACATGTTGCAGGCTACAGATTGTGGATGGAGGCAACCTAGCTATCCAGGAGGCACGACCAGGGGACGAAGGAAGGTACCAGTGTGTGGCCAAGAACACCGTTGGCTCCAGGGAGTCCCAGGTGGCCCAGCTTAAAGTCCATGGTAAGTATATACAGAGTAAGCGGTAAAAGGGTGTTTAAAAGATAGCTAACCATAGCGGTTTTTGACCACATCCTGGAAATCAATCAAGTAAGAGCATACAGTACTTTTCATTGAGGATATGTAAACACAATAGTAATTCATGATAATGTTATGATTCTTCTAACTTCACGTTAGTGCATTTCGAATGAGGAGCTTCTAGAGTCTTCTAGATCCTGGAATGAAATTGTTAATATATTGATTGATAATTTTAACAGAACACTATGAATAAAATTCTTTCAAAAATATTACAACCATCATAAATTAATACTTTAACGACGAGAAACGATAAACACGTTGCCTACCAGCCGTCACACTCTGCTGATTGAGGGGTGTTGTGAGAAGTGGTAGTAAAGGAGTTAACCTTGAAATATCAATCATTTCATCAGGTTTTCCATTAGGTAGTAACATAATGTTATAACAAAATCAGAATTATCATTGATCACATAAATTTTACATGTTAAAAAAAACTGTATTATGTTTTACTGTATGTGCAATAGTTTATACTTAAAAAGTTCGTTTTACTGTCGTACGTACATTAATGACTTCAATATAAGTCAGTACAATCATATTTTTGCAACATCCATTCCCAAATTATACCTAATAATTTTCTTAATTACTGCTCTTGATGGTTTCTTTTGATTCACGAATACGATCAGGCCAGAGCAATTCATCTGAAGTAAAAGATCCATATGATACTCGCTATTAGTAGTAAAATGGGATTTCTGAACCAGACGTGACGTCATTAGCTTGCAGTAATGCAAGTTACCAGGTGGGAAAAAGATGACGTCACCAGTCCAGTATCCCTGTTCCCCTAATACTTCCACTAATACCACTTCCTTCCCAACAGTGAAGCCCCATCTCCTGAGAGGCCCCAAGGACACGGTGGCTCTGGCAGGAGCCAGTGTAGTGTTCGCTTGCGAGGCTGCAGGAGACCCGCCACCGGACGTGCTATGGAGGCGAACCGCTGGAGGTGGAAGCATGCCTTTAGGCAGGGTGAGCTATTGTGTCTTAAAATAATCAAACATAACTCGTGCTAAGGTCAACTTGATTTAATTTAATCAACTATACTTTAAAGCTCTTCTGTAGAATAAATGGGTAGGTAAATATCGCGTAATTGAGCCTCATTCTTCCAAAATAGCACTTCCAACAGGACAAAATCTATTCCCTATGGGTACTCTATTGATATAGCATGTAAAACTTGAAACAAAAACCAGCTTCAGCTGTACAGATTACAGTAAATATTTAACTTTCATCTTTGGCTAGTACTGTTGTGGACCTCCTATGACCATTTATTTTAAGTTTGTAGTCTTAGCCTTAGGTCTTAAGTTTCATCTAACGTATATGAATGTTTCGTTCCTTCTAGTTCGACGTATTGGAAAGTTGTAGTCTCAGTCTTAAGTCTTATTTTCCTACAAGGTTTTGTTTTGTTTTTTCCTACTGAGTTTTGTTTTTCTTTAGGTCCACGTTTTGGAAGATCGTAGTCTCAGGCTAGATTCTGTGGTACCAGAGGACGAGGGCGAGTACAGTTGTGAAGTTGACAACGCTGTTGGAAGTTTAACAGCCTCAGCAACACTGACTGTGCATTGTGAGTATACTACATGACTATAAAATATGTTATTGGAACAATAGAAAACCTTTCAAAACAATAGCATGAATGAAAAAAATTTAAAGATTTAAAATGGTGAATCATTTATTTGGCTACAAATCGTAGAGCAAAAAGTTTAAAGAAAACTATGTAATTATATGTTCTTCTTTCTTCTGTCTTTTATGTTTGCTTTCTTAAAATCATGAATCAGAGTAGATATAATATGATGGTTTTACCTCACTTTCGGCGTTTTAGAGGCACTTTTAGGGCACTTTTTATAGGGGAAAAATGAGAAAAATTAGTGGCTCATTTTTTTGGCCACTTTTTTAAAGACCCAGCTCTTGACCTATACACCCCTATATAAATTTTCTACTTTTGTTAATACTAAAAATCACGTCTGGAATATGGCTCATTTTTTGGCCACTTTTTTAAAAGACCTGGATCTCGTCCAATACAAGCCTATATAAATGTTCAAACTCTATTAAAATTTCAAATCCACATCCATTCCCATGTATATTCTCAAAATCATGTGAGGTTTGTGGGTGAACTCGGGCATGCTCCCGGCTTATGACGTGCTCCCTTGGACATCCTTAGTGGAAATCCATGAGTTCTGGCTACTTGGGAACCCAAGCCATTTGACATACAACGAATCACCTTTTTTCCTAATTATCTTCTCTACCAAATACATGTCCTTATACTTGGTCTTTAACAACTCCTCTGTATAGAAGCCTCCCCTGATTATATCGCCATTTTCATCTTTCAAGATATAAGTCACAGGCTTTGTATTCTTAACTTCTGCTATTGTAAATAGTTCCCCTGTCCAATTTGGAGTATAACCTTTACTAAAAACATGTTTATACTTGGAAATCCTTACGCTATCACCTACCTTATATCTTGGCTTTTTAACTTGCTCTACTTTAGAAGTCAACCTCTCATGTACATATTTACTATTCTTAACATTTACTTGGTTAGGCTTCATTCCTATAGATCTATGCACTTTATTATTATATTTTCGAATTAACTTTGGAAGTAAATCCAACCATTTATAACTCCCCTGAGCACTAAATTCCCTATATAACCAATTCTTTAAAGTTCTCTGAAACCTCTCCACAATTGCAGCCTTAGTTGTAGAAAATGTGTGATAGTGATTAATATTTAATTTTTTCATTAGTTTGCTAAAATATTGATTAAAAAATTCTTTTCCATTGTCAGATTGAATGTTTTTAACCCCCTTTGGTAGAATGGTTTTAATGGCTTCTGTAACCACTAACCCTGTCTTATTCTTTAGTGGAGCAGCATAAGCTTTTTTAGAAAATGTATCTATTAAAGTTAAAATATATTTATTGCCAGAATTTTCTCTAGCATAGTTTTGCATATCAATTAAATCTATTTGTACGGTTTCATTTATACCTAATACTTTGAAAGACCTTCTAATGAAATTCTTTCTTGCAGGTTTATGAAGTTCGTATGCAATTTCATTCATTTTTTATAACATCATCCTTTCCTGTAACTCTAAATACATCACCATTAGCCCCAATCAATAGATTATCTTCCATTCTTTTAAATACATAGTTTTCTGGTATATATGGTCTATTATCTATATACTTAAATCCACTCAAAGATGTGGGGTCAGCAACTAATAAATCAGGATTATATTCCATCAAATTAAATTTTTTTTCTCCATATACAAATTTTGATCCATCATAATGCATAGATTGTGACATTAGACAAATATCATCCAAATGTTCCCCCTCTGGTAGATTTCTTATGAATTGTTTTTTGGCATCCCAACATTTTTCTTTTTTATCAAAAGTTATAGTCTGTTCTTTTATAACACAGTCAGTGTCATCAATGGCAGGTTTAACACGTACTAACCTTTTACTATTAAAACTCCAATAGCCTGCTTCCATTTTTGGAACTTGTGAAACATTCACAGAATCTTTACTATCTGTACCTTCCATCAAATTACTAATTTTCTGTTTCTTCGCATTCCAAACACCATTCTCTGATTCTAAAAATTCATAATTATTATTGTCTTGTACAAATTTACCATCTTCTTTTCGTATTAAAGTCTGTTGTAAAGTGGGCACATCATCTAAACTTTCACCCTTTTCCACATTAGTAATTTTCTGTTTCTTAGCATTCCAAATACCATTCTCTGATTCTAAAAATTCATAATTATTATTGTCTTGTACAAATGTACCACCAGCTGTTCGTATTAAAGTCTGTTGTAAAGTGGGCACATCATCTAAACTTTCACCCTTTTCCACATTAGTAATTTTCCGTTTTTTAGCATTCCAATTTTTATTCTTGGATTCTAAAAACTCATATTTAGTTTTACCTTGTAAGAAGACATCACCTTTTCTAGTTAATGTCTGTCCCAAAGTTGATACATCATCTACAAACTCCCCATCTTTAACATTACCAAGTTTACGGTTTAAACCATTCCAACTATCGTCTTGTAAATTTAAAGTAGGTTCACTACTAGCCCTGGGTTCTGCAGGCTTATTATATGGATTATATAAACGATAAAATTTATCTATAAACATATTTTTATTTAATAAATAATTCCACTTTCTCTCAATTCCTCAATAATGGAATCTATTTCATTATCCACTCCTGAGTTACCGGCTTGGCGACTTAGCCAAAGAAGTCTTAACCTATCTACAAGCTCATTAGGATCATCCCAATAAATATAGTCTATTTTCTTACCAGTCACTTGTCTCAAACCTTCACCAACAGATTTAAAAAGAGGTTTAATTATATTAAGATATTTAGTATGTCTATTACTTGAAATTGGTGCACCATCTTTGTAACTCTTTAAATGTCCATTTGTAGCTTCCAAAATTTCTTTATAATTTTGCAAATCAGCCGGAGTATAATCCTCAGGTTCTTTTAAAGTTAACAATTGCCACAAACCTTTTGTCCCCTTGTAGGTTTTATTTGCAATTGTAACATCATCATTGGCAATATCAACTTCCTTATTTCCAATAAAAAATTTATTTGCTTCTCGTCTAATACCATATGTAGTGTCTGTCATACTACTTTTACTGAGGTAATTTCCTAAATAGTCTGATGCTAAAAGACCAAAATCTAATTTCTGTGGAGTAGATTGTTGTAATGGTTGTAATCTTGGTATTATTGGTATTCTAGATGGAGTCATTGGGAGAATCTCCATTCGAGGCCTCTCTGTTTTGGCGATTTTTTTAAATTCTTGTAATGGCTCTATTAAAGGTTGGAATGTTTGGAACCTCTCTTCAGCCTCTAGAAACTTGCCACGTTTTAAAGCTCTATATTTCTCTCGTATTTGATTTGCAGAGTCAACCAATTCTTGTTGAATGTTTTTCATCTTTTATTTACATTTTATTTATCTCATTTGACAAAGGATTGTACTCAAACACTTTATCATGTATTATCAAACAATATGCAGATGTATTTGCTGGCACATTTTCTGCAGTTTCAATCTCTAATTTAATATCAACAATTCCTTCCTTCACTGTTTCGTTCTGTCTAGAACAGTCTATTACAATTAGTGGATATTTCTTCATAAACTCAGCCCTACTAATCATAGGATCTGGGATAGTATTATAGTAAGTCTCTCTAAACCTCATAAACATCTCATAAGCTTTAGAGACATCTCCATTTTCAAAGTCGAGATTTAAATCACTATAAGGATAATATTCAGAGTTTAGAAATACTTTGAGATTTTTTAACTTACAGTGATCAAATTCATCAGTTCTTTTTCGTGCACTATTATCCCTAGCTGTTTGAAAACCAAATATAATATACCTAGGCTTCTCCAAACTTGAAGATGTCTTTACTGACCATGTATGTCTTGTAGTATTGGGATATGATGGAAGTTCATGCAACTCTAAGCTTCTAAATGCAATTTGCAAATTTTTATTTTGCAGTAACATCTTTTGTAATTGTAACTTCTCCCCATCTGATGGTATTACATGTGGCATCACCCATTGAATTGAGTTAAGTGTAATTTTAGGAATCATATCAGCAGTACCACTGGCTGGAGCACTAGTGGTTGTTAATATACAATTCAAATCATTTTTGGATCTTTTTAACACCAATTCTTGTTTGACATTTACTAATACCTTATTAAAATCCTCAAATACACCCATTAACAGTTCTAATGGCAAACAAGTACTAAACTTGCCACTTTTATGGAACTCTTTTAAATTCGTGTCAGAATCAAATGCCACATTTGACAATTTAGTAGTTTTATTGTAAGAGCTCAATATTTTCATAAGACTAGAAATTCCTGGGTTTCTTACAATGTCTATTTCTTTACCTGCGACTTCATATCTAATTTCATCAAATAAGAATGCAAATGCATTATTTATAAAATGACCTTTATCATGATTTTCAATTTCTCCCTTAATATACAGATAACTCCTACACGGGAGAGTTAGCAAATCTTGATTATTAATACATATTCGAATTTCATCGGAATTATTTATTGCCAAAGTGTTGTGGGGAACATAGGAGTGATTTGTAATTTTAACCACACTATCGTCGAATTGGGATTTCCCTGTAACGTCTAGAAAATCTTCCATTTTTATTAATAGAAAATTTTAACTTTAGTCCTATTGATCGTAGGAACCTAGCATTTTGTACACTTATAGATAAATTCTTATAAATTCTCATATCTTTTTTATATGACAAGTAATTGTAGTTTCTTCTCCATTAAAGTCAATTGCCTTGTCATGCTGATCGGCAAATGTAATACTGACAACATCTAAACTTCTCTTATTTACAGGAAAATATATAATATTTCTTGGAACTTCAATAATTTTGTAGCCAGGAGGAGCTTCTGGATAAAAGCTATGTATGGTGTGTGATTTGTTTCCGTTTAAATAGGACCCGTTTGCAATATTACATTTTACTCTAATCACATTTACATTATTAATGTTTATTTTATTTGTAGATTCAAACTGAACACCAGGAGTAGAAACACCTTTAAATCCCAATAAAACAGACCCTAAACA